CATGTGGTAAGTCTTTGAAAATACCTACTTACATACCTGTATTTATCAGAGTTAGGCTCAATTTCAGCTGACAAAATTGTAAAGCTCTAAAGTATCAGATTCCTTTATAAGATGTCATCTGAATTAAATATGAAAACTGTAAAGTAGGGGTCAGAAGACAATAAATGATATTGTCAGAAAATATGAAAGATCTTAGGGGAAATCTATAAAGACAAATTTGCTATTTTTATTCTTGCTTGTCTGTAGAAAAGGGAAAACTCAGAGCTCTCCATCTTATCTCAGGTTTATAGATATAACTTGAAACTGTATGTTAAAAGATCTTTTTTATTTTCACTAAGTCCTTTTTGAACTATGGCATAAATAATTGCTATAGTCACAGCTGCAGATAATTTTAACCATGTTCTAATGTTAGTCACTCCTGTGTGCTGAGACCTTAGAATTCAGATTGTAGCCTTTGAACAGTTTATTTCAGTACCTAAGCAGCTTTGGAAAGAGTCCAAACTAAATGGTTACTAAATCTGCTCTACGGTTCCAGCATAGTGGCATTAAATGCAGTAAGGATTACAGAATCTTATTCCTCTTCTGTCAAGGTGATATGTAGCACAGTAGACTGCCACAAACACGCAGATTCTGTTCAATCATACTAGTTTAGGAAGTTAGTAATTGCACCAAACCAGAGAAACTAATGGTGAAATGGTGGGCACCTGCATAGCAATTGACAAGGTTAGGGAGAGAGGCTTTGATTTGAGCAAGGGCATGCTGTCACTGTCTCCCTTGGGCACTATCCTCTTCAGCTCAACAACTCCCAGGGGTCAGATCCAAGTCCTTTCCTATCCAAGCCAGTTTTCCATGACCTAGATGTTTCTTTATCCCAAATCCATCAAAATGACATACCCATCATCACATGACTTCATTATCCTGTTGATATTCCTTAATAATTTCTATATCCTCCCCTTACCCACTTTTTGCACAAGTCCCCACACCTCTGAAATGTAACTACTGTATCAAGTATTCCTTTGACACTGCTACTGTTGAATGTACAAATTGACTGCCGACTAAAACAATGTGGACAATTTTCTGTCCTTACCTGGTTAAAGGGTTTCCTGAGGCAGTAACAGTTTACAATACTGTATGGGAGATATATATATATATATATATATATATATATATATATATGCAGTATCTGTACAGAATGTATATGCTTTTAGGGGAATAGTATCACACCTCTTCAGTTGTTACCACACCACACCACCAGCAAAACACCCATAGTCCTCCACCATAGACCTTTGGGCCTCCTTTTCCCTTTGTTCCCCATGCTCTTCCTCCCCTCTTCAGTAGCCTCAGTTCTGTATTTATATTGCAAGGGTTTGTTTTGGCTTAGTTTCACCTGTTTCTTTGTGTTTCACATGAGTGAAATCACCTGTAATTGTCTTTCTCCTTTTAACTTATTTCATTTAGCATAATCCCCTTCATTTCTATTCATGTCACAAATGAGAAGATTTCATCTTTTTTATAGCTGAGTAGTATTCCACATCTATTTTATTTACTCATCAGCATTAGGCACTTAGGTTGTTTCTGTAATTTTAAATAGCATTGCAACAGGATTTGAAGAGATATATGCACACCTATCTTCATTGCAGCATTAAGTGAAGGTTTTATAGAGTTTTCATTTTTTAAAAAAATAACAATCCCTTAACATAAATTTCTCCTGTTTCTCCTTCCCCTCTGTGTACAACTAGTTAAATCATATTACTCTTGCAAAACAGTACATCGAATAAATAAAACCAGCTTGCCTTTCTCATAGGCATACCTCTGAATGGTACTATATCCAAAGTAGGTCATAATCATAAATGATAAAAAAATTGTTCATATGTAAAGATGCAGTAGCTCAAGACTGCTTACATTTGGATGACCCTATTTAGGATAATAGAAATACCATTACAGGGCACTACATTTTTTAAAATATTTTACATGTATTTGTGTTTGTATAATTAATAATGTTCTTTTATAGCTATGAAAAGGTTTTTAATTATTATAATGCAATAATGTGATTTTGTCCATTGTATGCTCTTACAACTGTTGCTAATAAAATTATTTTGTTCTTTGAAATATAATTATATAATACTATACAGTGTGTATAACAGTTAGTTACCTAAGGATCAGTTTTGTTATATAGTTAATTCCTTGTTAAGACAAGACTCACAATCACATCTTTGTTTATCTTGACATAGCTTAGAGATCTTGGGTGTAGCAGGTTTTCAATAAATTATATTAAATTAAAATGTTATCTTTTAAAAGAAGAAACATGATTTAAACAATTCTTGATAGTAATGAATTCCCTATTATCATATGATATTCACCTAAAACTGGTTTTCATTTTCTGGCCAACAATATTGTATTACAGGTTTTCTCATAACTAGAAGATAGAAATCATAGCTGCAGAATTAGTTTGACTTGACTTGTGATTTTCTAGTTTATATAACTGCCAAATTACATAATCATAGATTCAACACCAGTATTTTCTCCAAGTTACAATAAATAATATTGTGGCAAATAAATACACATCTGAGTAGCAATAAATAAGAAAACATTAAAATCAAACACAACTTATAAAAAAATTCACATTTTCACATTTCTCTGAAACTGTAACTGTGTGTCCTTTACACTATATTGAATATATGCCATTTATTTCTGACTATGATTAATGGTTGTTTTTAGGCCGCCAACTTTCTTTGCCATTTACAAAGATTGTGTCCTAAGGTTTTGTCTTATTTCAACTCTAGTGTCATTTGTAAATCTGAAAAATCAGATAATGAAATGTTGAATTTGAGTTATAGCTTTGATTTATTAGTGTGAAATCTTTCAATATCTGTTATACAACTGCGAACATAAGCAAATTTCATCAGAAGGTGTGCAGTTCTACATTCTGTAAAAATCCTGTTGGCAGTAGCATAACAACATGAACGCCAGTACTGACTTGTAGCCTGATAACCAGCCACATGATGCAAGGAAAAATATGACAATATCTCAAGAACTGTGCCAACCTGTGAATTGATGCCAGGGAGCAAGAAGACTACTGCAATATCTGTGGCCAATATTTGCCATTTTTACAACACTCAAAAAATTAAACAAACAAAAATAATCTCTGAATTATTTTGGTATATCCGTAAATCAAAGGAGAAAAAGAGAACAATGTCAGTTGGTATATTTTAAAAGAACATATTCATAGGTGTCAAAAAAGAACAATAGGAACAGTCCCTCACTTACTATTAGAGAGTAAGTCCCAGCAACAGAATAAATGAGGAATGAATACCTACATTAAGATAGGAGCAGACTTTCCTGTGACACGTGCATCAAATAAGAAACGAGAGCATACTGGATGTGGGATGGGTGAGGGGGCATCAAGGTAAGACTCAAAAAGATAATTGCAGGCACACATTACAAAAGGAAAGACTGAATACAGCAATAGCTGTACCAGAATAATTATACAGTAATTAACATGCCTGCTTTCTTCCTCTTTGGGGATTTTTTTTTTTTTTCATTTAGATAAAAATGAATCCTGACTGCTGCAGTATTTCATTTGGCAGGTTATCAGGTAATTTATACTTCAAATATGATCTCATCATCAGTTCCATCTGCTGATATTAACTGAGCATCCGTAATGTTTGAAACTGATAGGTAGAAAACACCCCAAAATCAAAATCCTTGAATCTGATTCACATAAAAATCAGAAATGGAATATGTATTCTTATCTTGCAAGTGCTATATATTCATTTTAAATCTTTACTTTTAATTCACCCAGTTCTCCACTACTCTAGAGATTAAGGAGGGGAGAAACTATGTGCAGCTGCTACCAAATGGGCTCAAGTAAGTGTTAGACCTTTTTAAAGAGGACTAGCATAGTTCATAATGCTAAGACACAAGAGATAAAAATAACAGACTGTGATCCTAACCAAGCCTTGTTTAAGAAAGGTTTTTTCAAAGAATCACTTCCCTTCTTTCACATTCCAATTCAAAACTGAGTGATGCATAAATCAAGATTTCAAGACAAGGAGGGCTTGAAGAAATATTCTAAGAACTTGTTTCACCAGTTTACTCCTTCTTTCATCACCCAAGACTTTTCTTCCTCATGCAGAGAGAAATGGACCTAGAACACAGTGGAGACCACTGAATCCTCCTTAGAAGGCTGTCTCCAACTGATAACCACCCCTCCTTCAGCAATTTTGGATGTGCCCACTCAACCTTTAAATGCCAACTCAATTTGTTTCTTGTCTGTGGTATTTTTCCTTGTCCCATCCAGATTCAGCTGTCCCTTGGATCAGCAGTTTACCTTGAGTACAGCTGTCATTATACTTTTCTAAAATAGATCTCATTTATTTATTTGAATGTCTATCTCCTCTACTTGGTTATGACTTTTAGTATCCAATGTCTCACTGAGTTGTCATTCAGTTGACCCCCAATCTACATCGTTCCCTGCCAAGATTAGAAATAGTACCTTTTCCACTTATAATAATGGAATCTCAATAAATGCTATTGCACTGTTTATTTTACATCTTCTCGTCCATTCTGAGCCTGAAAACATTATTACTTATTTGCTCAAGGGGATGATCAAAACAGTTGTTCAAAATTAATTCTGTCAAGTGAGTAAAATAATAAAAGAGGTTCATGAAATTGCTATTGACTGCAGGTGGGGCTGAATTTGGTTTTAGGTTTAGTTCATAAAAAAAATGTGTCTAGAGCAATGTAATATTCATCAATAGAGAGTTTTTGAGAACTTACTCAAGTTATGGTGTTCCTACTTAATTCAAACAGTATTTTAATGAATGTTATTTACCTGAATAAAAAAAGGAAGAACAAAGGATACAGAAATAACCACTCAGATTTTTAAATTTCTATTCATTCATTGTATATTTTGGTACATAAAAATGGTGATGTTGATTCAGCACCTAAGTTACCAACATGGAGTAAAAGCTTTTTTTTTTTTTTTTCTCTTTCAATAGGGTACTCGATACTTCAAGCTATTATGGAAAAAGCAGGACAAAATGGTTGGCATGTCAGTGCAATATGTGTGGAAAATTTTAATGATGTCAGCTATAGGCAACTTCTAGAAGAACTTGATAGAAGGCAAGAGAAGAAATTTGTAATAGACTGTGAGATAGAGAGACTTCAAAACATATTAGAACAGGTAAGTTCTGGATATTATACTATTATTAATATAGACCTACTATGAAATAGACCTTACAAAAAATTGACCTGTGATGCATTTGTCCTTAGGAACCTTCTCACAACCATTTAGTCTGAAATAAAGAGCTTGCAAGTCTTCATTGCATGATTAATCTCCAAGACTAAATCATAATCCTCTCTTACTGAAGACCATATTGGATCTTAGGTCTCATTGTAGTGAGGAGCACTGTTTCTCACACATTTTTTAGACATAGGCAACAGAAAAGGTCTTTCATGAATAATCAAGAATTCTTGGTCTCCTATTTTTATAAACATTAATTTTGACTATTAATGCCATCTGAAATATAAGAAAAGTTCAGTATTTTTGATTATGTGTTTTTGAGAAGTACCTGCATGAGAATTAGCAACATGAAATCACAACACAACACAGGAAAAGAAAATTCAGTGGCATACATTGCATATTTTCTTCTAGATCTTATAGGTAAATGTATTGCAATCATAGTGAAGATGTTTTCCCAAGTCTTTTTACAAAGGAAGAACTTGAATAAAGCTTTCAATAAATATTTGATTTGATCTGAAGCAGGCAGGAAAAGATAAAATGAGCTTTGTCATTGTGTTAAATAACAGGAAAATATCATCAAGTACGGGATAACATTTGCCTTTTTCCCAACCCTGCATATCATGATAAAGCTTTGGAATGCTCTGTTTGGCCAAAAGTACAGTGAATGAATGCCATCTAGTGGTTTTAAAGATATTTGCTCATATTTATGTACAATAAGCTAGGTGGTTAGATAATATTATAGCATGCTGTTTTGTTGGTTAATTTGCTACATGTGGTTTACCTGCATAATTGAATGGTTTGGCTTGTAGTAGTAAACTTACTAATTTGGAGGTTTATTTATGAAACTAACTTAAATACTCATATAAAATTATAAACCAAAGTATGTTTTAGATATTTCACCTTAATACTGAAGAGTCCCAAACTAGATGCTTTTAGTTTGATTCCTCAAGTATACTAGACTTCAAAAAAGTGAAAAGTAAGAAGGCATGCAGTGTTTCTTTTAAGGGCTCAGTGAAGCTGTAAAGGAAATGACATAATGTTCTTCTCTTGTTATCCTTTTATTTTATGTTACATTATTTTATTTTTGAGACTGTGGTACCTTTTCTATTTATTTCTAGTATGGAACTTTCGGAACTATAAGCTGTCACAATTTGGAAGATTTTTTCCATAGTTTTTTTTAATTGTCTTTTTTTTTTAATTGAGATAACCCTTTTAGGTGTGAAAAAGCTTTCAGTTTTTACCAATGAGTATGATGTTAGCTGTGGTTTTATTGTATGTGGCCTTTGTTATGTTGAGGTAGATTCATTCAATCCCCATTTTATTGAGAGTCTTTGTTACAGTAATATCTTATCAAATGTTTTTTCTGTATCTACTGATATCATATGATTTCATCTTTCCTTTTGTTGATGTGGTGAATGGCTTTGATCAATTTGTGAATATTAACCATCCTTGCGTTCCTGTAATAAATCCCACTTGGTCATGAAGTATCATCCCTTTAATTGTTTGCAAGATTTGCAAGATTTGAGAAATTGTTCATCTGTGTTCATCAGGGATATTGGTCTGGAGCTTTCTTATTTTATGAGGTCCTTATTCATTTTTGTAATCAGTGTTATATTGGCCTCATAAAATATGTTTGTAAGCATTCCCATTTCCACAATTTTCTGAGAAAGATAGGTATTAGTTTCTTTTTGAAGATATGGTAGTACACACTATTGAAACAGTCTGACTGTGGGCTTTTTGTTTTTTGGGAGACTTCTGATTACTATTTAAATTTCCTTGCTTGGAACTGGTCTGTTCCAGTTTTCTGTTTCTTCCTGATTCAGTCTTGGAAAGTTGTTTGCTTCTAAGATATATGTTTACATTATATTAAAAAATATTAATTGCAAACCTATGCACTAGTTATTCTTGAGGGCATCCAAAAAAAATGATAAGGCAGTAATTATTTAAGCTACGTGAAATTTTTAAATGCATACTTATAGAATCCAAGAAATATTTTCCCTTAACTAGAATCCAAGAAATATTTTCCCTTAACTTTCTAAGACTGATTTAAGCTCAAACTCTCATTCTTTCTCCCTCCTACTACTACCCTATGTTGACAGTTTGGGGTTTTGACCTGAACAATTGAAGCTTTGTAAATAACTTTTCATGAATCCCACAGAGCAGTCAGTTCTAAGAACTGCCTGGATTGCCAAGTTCCTGTCAAAGGGTGAGTAAGCCTCAGAAAGACTCTCCATTTAGCACCTGTGCTTAAAAGACACCGTCTGGAGAAGGCAATTGAGTGTCTAAAGCACATTGACCCATTACAGGGGCTTAGCTGGTTTCTAAGAAGAAAATCGGCACACACGAGTGCTTTGGATAAAGTCTTTGAATAAACCTTCAGTAAGCTCTTGCTAAGGGAATTGGACATCTTTTTTTGGTCATTTCAGAGAAATAATTTTTTTTCCATTTGTATTGATATAGAATTAATATATTGCATTGTATAAATTTTAAGGCACACAATATGATGATTTGATATACGAATGTATCATAAAATAATTACCATAGTTGGGTCAGTAAACACTCCCATCACTTCACATGATTACTTTTTTCTTTTTGAGATGAGAACATCCACTTTCTCTACAACTTTCAAATATACAACTCTGTATGGTTTACAGTAGTTACCGTGCTGTAACTACTGTAGAAGAGTCCCAGAACTTACTCTTCTTATAACTCAATGTCTGCACCCTTAGAAAACTTGAATTCTTCTTGCTGAATTCTAAAGTGTTTCTTTTCCTATAATCAGCAGAGTAATAATGAGACCAGCAATAAGGAGCCTGTCCCTCTAACATATCTTTCAAGTATAAATCTCATCTTTTTTTTTAAAGATTTATTTATTTATTTGTACAAGCACTGGGTACAGTCAGAAGCACAGAAGGTTGAGAGAATTCACCAGAGCCAGAGCAGAGAACAGAACAGGTAGACTGATGAAGTACACTGCTGAGGGAACAGGGGGTGGCAGGAGAGGTCTGCGCGCCATGTGGGACCCTCTCCTGGCAGCCGGGGATAGAACCGGCACTGCAGAGGCTGCGGGCAGCTTCGCAACCCAGCACTCAACCGCTGCGCCACCAGGGAGGCCCTAAATCGCATCATTTTAATAGCCTCCTATATCGTAAGAATATTATAGTGTGCTCTTAATTGTCCTATAAAATTTCACACACATACCCATAAGCTGTTTTCTGATTTTAGACATGATTTTTTTTTTTACTGTCTATATTTTAATTCCTTGTAACTCTAACTGAAGTCAATTTCAATGTTCCTCGGTTTTACTGGACTCATCTACACACAAGAACTAGTCCAAACCTTGTCAGGAAGTACAAATGTGTTCCTCCGGTAACTCCGGGTTTCAACACCTTCTTTAATAAATTGAGATAACAACAGAAAACAATTTCAGGGAATCAACCAAAGCATTTCATAAAATAAATTTCTAAATAATCTGTATCAGAGAAATGTCTTTGAAAAAGATGATGTAATCAATACAATGAAGATAAGGGATAAACTTCTAAAAGGATAGACACTCTTCATATGGTGACATGCTGTCAATAATTACTTTGTTGATTTTTTTAAGTTATGTCACTTTTAAAAAGCAATGGAAACAGTTCGCACAATTTTCTTTCAAAATATGACAATTGTGATTAGAGAAGTGCTTCATCTTCTATACATGTACTCCAAATTATTTTTACCCTGAACTAGTACGTTCTTATTAATGTATTGCTATTTAAGATAACGGTTCGTGATTTATTCATTCAAGCATTTCAAAGCTTGAGATTCCAAGCAAGTGTTTTAAAATGTAGTTTCATGTATATTGATTTTCCCACCCCAAACTGCATTATTAAAATGGAAGACTATGTATATATCATTCACTGAGTGATTTGAGTCTATAGAAACATAACAAAACAACATATTTTTATCATCAATTTATTTGTGTCAGGCTCCAGTAATTCAAATTGTGTTTTTGGCTTTCTAAATTCAGTGAGTAATTTGATCCACTCAGCTGCAGTAAAAAACTTTGAAAAGAAACAGCTAAAAAGGTATAGTTTGCATATTTGTGTAGTCTGAGCAATTATTGATACTCTCAAGTTAATATAACCACTTTGAACAACATTATTCATTGCATCTCATTTTCTTTCTCTAACATCACATTAGCTAACAGCTTAAAATAGTGGGAAGTAAATTAATTGTTTTCATATCAAAATATGTCATTTATAGGTGGAAACTTTTGCATATATTTCATTTTCACACATACCTATTCACGTTAAGTAATGAACTTGATTACTTGCAGAGCCCCTAGGGGCTCTATCTAACACCTTATCACTTAAAGTACTAACCTTTGATTGACATGTTTATCACAGTTGCAAGAAAAGTAACAACAAAGTTAATGTTAATTTTCTTCCTGGTATCAAAAATTATTTGCGCAAAATAGCATGTAGGAATAACTGCTCAAACGTTTTACACTGCCATGAAAAGACATCCCAGGGTCCTGAAACTACATTTCTGTGTTTTGATTGTCAGACAAATCCTCCTCTCATGAATACCCAGTTCATCCTCTGGGCTGTAGTCATGACACTTGGCAGCGGGGTGGTGCTGCCCTCTCCTCACTCCTTCTTTAATCCGTTGGCTTATATCCCCAGAATGACGATGTTTTCCAAAAAAATGAATGTTTTTACTTTCCCAGAGATGGATAAGAAATCTTCGATTGTTTATTTTTAAAAGGTAAATTAGAATCACTTACATAATGTCCGTGACTCTTTTCCTTCCTTACTTTAAATAAGGAACGTGGGTTGAAATCTTCTTGAAAAACTGCTTACTATAAAAATCAATAATGCTATTTCCAGTGAAGACTTCCTGATAATTGCACTTTATCCTGAAGCAATATATAATTTTACACTTGGGCTATACCTTGG